TTATCCAATAAAATATGAGATATTTATAATCCAATAATATTAAATGTTATAACGAAAGGTCATTATACAACAGTACTGTTCAAAAGATCCAGTTTGTTGCAAAGTTTCAAGCTTATCTTGCCATCTGTCCAGTTTTTGTTGAGTTCTAAATTGTTGTTCAAAGCAAAACTTGAAATTTGTATAATTTTAATTGCCATTGGATCAGTCTTGTAAGACATCATTTTGTAAATTTCGTTGCTTATCAAATTATGATGCAGCAGCATCTTCAAGATATCCACAGACAACTTGAATCTTTCAGTTATTAGTAATTCCATTAGCTAGTGCTGTCACTTCAAAATCTCAGAGCCATTCTACAGGATCTTGGTCTTCATCTTTGTATTTTCAGATTTGGATAATTATTTTTTCATTGTTTCTATAATTTAGTAAAAGGACCAATTCACTGATTGCATCAATAACTGCTTGAGTGCTCATTGTGGTTATTTTGAAATGGAATATTGAGAAATCAGAGTATGTGCTAAATTCGGATATGAAGTCGTAACTGCCAGTAAAGAAGTAATTTATTTCAGTAGCTTTTGTATTGCTAGTTGTCTCAAAGTAGAAGCCGTCAGATAAATTAGGATCTTCTTTAAATTCTTAATTAAAAAAGCCTTCAAGTGTTGTTTTAACTAAGAAGAGTTTGTATTTAACTGTATGTTGATTTTGATAAATTAGGGTGTTTAATAATCAAATTACTCATCTTCATAGTTCTTCTCTTTCAAGAGTGTTAAGATCTACTATAATAATATCTTCAAATAATTGTTCAGTGATGAAAGATCCAGATATTGCACCTCATTCTTGGATCCAGTTGAGAAAATTGGCTAAGAGTTTAGTTGTTGTATCAGAAGGTAGAAAGCAGATATGACAATAATACTATTGAGTTATTCGAAGTATTATTTCTCAGTGTTGATTTTCCAGGTGAGTGTTGAGATATGAGATAGTAGGTTCTCTAATAAAGTTATAATAATTGTTCATAAAGAGAGTTTTAATTAAGAGTTGAAATATAAATATTCACAAAGGGAATTGTAAAAAGAAAATTTGTTTTTGGTAATTAGTTTTTAAATGAGATAAGAGAATTAATTAAATGATAATAGAAGGAAAAAAGTGTTTGATAATTTAAGAAATTCACAGAGAAAGCACCAAAATATGATACAGTTACTTTAAATAAAGGATTTCTTCACTATTAGTAAAAGAGTCATATAAGTTGGGAGAGAGGAATAGACTAATAAAATTGGTCAGTGCAAAAATAAGTATTTAAGCCTGTGCCAATTTTGACAGAAATTGTTAAATAATTCTATCAAAGATAAAAAGAGAGGTTGGGAGAGAGTGTTCAGAGAGGTAATTAATAAAAAAGGGTTGCTAACTAAAATAAAAAGATATTAATGTTCTTATACTTGTAGTCATATATTCTAGTGCTTTCAATATCAAAGAAAATGAATAACTAAAAGAAATATTACTTATTTAGAGTTGTGATGTATAACTATACAAATCAATATCACTTATTTAGAGTTACGGTGCACAACTATACAAATAAATATCACTTATTTAGAGTTACAGTGCATAACTATACAAATTAATATCACTTATTTAAAGTTACGATACATAACTATACCAAAAATAATACTATAGCAAATCAATATACTTATCCAAAAATACTTAATTATCTTTTCTAAATTTAAAGACAAAAGTAATAATCAGAAATTCAATTCTACACAAATTAATATTCGATTTTTTGACCTTGCTTAAGATTTATGAAAAGCAACTTGAATTACAAGATTTGAAGTTCAATCAACAAATTATTTTTGCCAGGTAACTTGTTTTGATGGAAAAAGATACAAGGATAAATATTAATTTTATAACAATAAGGCAATCATCAACTTATTGTAACAAGATTAAAATTTATTAATTTGTTTAAGCATTAAAATATGAGATTGATACATAAAAGAGCACTCCTATTTATACAAAATTTGTCAATACATTTTAATTTTATCTATGTTATAAAATTATAAAAAGATATATATATATAAAATATAAAAAATATAAATAGAAAAAGATAAAAAAGATAGAAAAGATAGTTAATAAAGATATAAAAGGTAGAAAAAATAGAAAATAAAGGTAGAAAAGGTAGAAAATAATAATAATTATACGATTATTAAATAATTAATATGTATATACTATTTTTATCAATTTGTTATTTTGTTACTATTTTTAGAGATTTCATATTTTTACTATTTTTGAAAGATTTATTAATTATGGAATTATTAAAAATAAATGTAACATTATTCAACTAGTAGAAGTTATATTTTATAATTTAATAAATTATTCGCATTTTGAATTATAAGATATCATGATCATTATAAGTATCCAGAATTTAGTTTTTTAGGTACAACTTCATGAAAATTCATTCAAAACAAATAAAATTCCATATATATAAAATATATGATATGAGAAACAAGTTTATCTAATATCACAAATACATTTAAATTTAAGAAAAATAACAAGATTCTAAAAAAATATTTTCACTAATCAATTTTGCAAATATTTTTAAGAAATATATTTTCATATCTTAAAGAATATATTGTTATATTTATTTTCAAACTTTTCTTAATTAACAAATTTTTCAAAAATAGTAGAAAATAGTTTACATATATTAATTATTTAGTTATCATATAATTATTATTATTTTTTAATTTAACAGTTTTTATTTTTATTTTTTATCTTTTTTATCTTTATTTTCTATTTTTTCTATCTTTATTATCTATTTTTTCTATCTTTTTTATTTATTTTTCTATCTTTTCAACCTTTTTTTATTTTTTCTATAATTTTGTAATATAGCAAAATAGTATTAAAATATATTAAGAAATTTTGTATAAATAAAAGTGCTGTCTTAATACACACTCTCTTATGCTTCAAACAAATTAATAAATTTTAATCTTTAATATAATCAGTTAATAATTATCTTATTGTTATAAAATTAATATTTATATTCCAGACTGATATATTTCAAGTTTGAATATGAATTAGCAATTTTATTTAAAGACTTATCAGAGAGATCAAAAAAACTGAGACTAAAATATTTCAATCTGAATTCTTGTATCTTCTTCTATCAAACAAGTTACCTGATAAAAATAGTTTGTTAATTGAACTTTAGATCTTGTAATTCAAATCATTTTTCATAAATTTTGAGTGAGATCAAGAAATTGAATATTGATTTGTATAAAATTGAATTTTTAACTATTATATTTTTGTCTTTAAATTTGAAAAAAATGGTTAAAGTATTTTGAATAAACATTTTGATTTGCTATAGTATTATTTTTGTATAGTTATGCATCGCAACTTTAAATAAGTGATATTATATAGTTGTGTACTGTAACTTTAAATAGGTGATATTGATTTGTATAATTATGCATCACAACTTTAAATAAGTGATATTAATTTGTATAGTTGTGCATCGCAACTCTAAATAAGTGATATTTCTTTTAGTTATTTATTTTCTTTGGTATTAAAAGCACTAGAATATACAACTACAAGTATAGAAACATTAATACCTTTTTATTTAGTTAATAACTCTTATTAGTCAATTGTTCCTCTGAACACACTTTTCTAACTTCATTTTTGATAGAATTGTTTAACAATTTCTGTTAAAATTGGCACAGACTTAGATACTTATTTTTGTATTGATCAATTTTGTTAATCTATTTCTTTTTCTCAACCCATATGACTCTTTTACTAAAAGTAAAGAAACTCTTTATTTAAAATAATTATAGCAATATCTATAATTTTTTAATTGAATTTACTTTATTATTATTTCATAATGCTCAATTAAAAAAAGGTATAATTTTGCTAAATTTCTTAATTATGATTTTTTGTTTCAAAAAATTAATAACTTTAAAATATAATATTTTATATATACCAAATTTATTTTATAATAATTATTATTATTAAATTTACTAAAATTAAATAAAATATATTTGAAAATAATGTATTTATTTTAATTTTGAACAAAAAAATTACTAACTTTAAAATACAATATTTTATAATTTATAAATTCAATTTAAATAAAAAATATTATCATTTAATTCACCAAAATTAAACAAATCAAATAGTATATTTTTTTGTTTAAATTAAAATTATAAATTATAAAAGAATTATATTTTTGTTTTTCCATTTTTAATTAAATTTTCATTTAATTTTAATTTAGTAATTAAAAAAACTAGATTTTTGCTTGATTAATTTTTTTATAAAATTACTATATAAACTATTCAATAAAAATTAATATTAAAATCATGTTATTTATTATTTATTAGAATTTTTTAGCAATTTTTTAAAATATACAAAAGTACTTTAATTTTTAAAAAGACAAATCATAGTTAGTTATCTAGTATAATATTTTATTTAGTTTAATAATTTCAATATTTTGAATCAATTTATTTTGTTATTTTATAAAAAATCACTATCAATTTAAGTCAAAAATCACTTAGAAATAACAAAATCAGACAGTGAACCAGAATATTATAATTTAAATAATATAATAACTATTATCGATTGATTTCAAAACTAATTTATGCATTTAATAAACTATTCTACATATTGTCCAAAGTAGAAATATTTATACAAATTAAGATCGATATGCTCCGGTTTGGTTGCAGTATTATACACTAATATATAGAACAGAGTTGTAAAGTAAAATAAAAATACATCAAAAATATACAAAAGGATATAAAACATTTGATGATATAGTTAAATAAAAATAATGACAGAATTCCTGTTAGTAGGTATCATACATGCAGTTTTGTAGTGGGTAATGCTGAAGTTTGATAACAAATCGCCATATGAGGAACAAAAGGTAAAGCTACGAAAAACATATGCATTAGCAAAATAATAAAATCGAAAACTCAAAAGATAGTTTATAGTCATTTCCTACCATAAAAAAGAAATCAATCACCAAACATGATGTGAAAAGTTGTATGAGGTTATGAACACCAACAGTACAAAATGAACTTGGTAAAGTAGAGTTACTGGTATAATCATAAGTTGGTGTTGCAGTCGATGGATCAATTGATGTTGAGTTTGATGGTATGTCACTGACCCATTTCCTTCCACCGTTTAGACATTCGCCCACGATACGGTATTCCCAATGCTGCAGTTGCCATGCCATTACACCGGCTCTGATAGCTCCGAGGAGCACAATAACCGGATATATTCGAAATAAAAATTTCGTGAAAAGATAGGAACGCTATAATTGGTTCCATGGATGCAATAAAGACGGTGAATATTTATGCAATCAAATCTTACAAGTCATAAACAATATACATACATTAGAGAATGCAATAACGAGAATAAATGCTAAGGCACCTTGAGCCATTGCATAGCCTCCATAAATTCCAGCCTCTGAATGAAAAAAGAAAAACTCTACACGAAAAAAAGGTCAATTAGTAATCTTAAGTTTTTTAGAGGATATATTCACCAATTTTATTATGCTCACCTCCCCAAAGGAACAAAAATATGCCTCCAGCTATTTGGTAAAGCTATTAAGAAACATTGTTATCCATATATACATGCATACGTAAATTTTTAAATTAATCCTTTATAATACACTTACACCCATGAAAGTAGCCAATATTATAGCACCAGCGCGTAAAGGAAAAAATAATAGACAATTATCGCACCACATGTTTAATTTACACTTAATGACGTGCTACGCTTGCGTGTAAAAAGTTCAATATTTTAATGTTTGAAAAGCCGCAAGATTAACTGTTGGTACTAGAGATTAACACTTTGGGATATTATTGTTGTGAGGTTGAAAAGAGAAGCTGGAGCGAGAAAACGTTAACTATTTCGTAAAGTCGTAAAAAATCTGGGAACGCGAGTATAGGAAGAACCGCGGGGAATGTAATAAGACGGTGGGGTGGTTAATAGGTCATGACAAAACTATCAAACTCCTTTATAACGTCATTCCTTCTCCCCTTTATAACAGTGTTGTACGAATTTTTGTCACCACACGTTCAAATTTATAAAACTTATGAAAAACCCCTTAACAGATCTTTTAATTACATATACCAATTTTGGAAACCATTTTGTACGCATTCGATTTCCTGGCTTTACTTTATATAGTCGAATCTCTATTTAGAACATTGAACATCACAAATGATCGAAATGACGTCCAAGAAAAATGGCCCCTTTTGTATTGTGTCCGGGTACTATGGTGCATACCATCTAAAGTCATCAAACATTTGTATTTTATAAAATAAATATGCTCAGAAAGGTCTATTCTATCATATTTACGGATTAAATTTAGTATCCATTTTATAAAATACATGTACAAACGTTTGATGGTATGCACCATATGTAAAATGTAAAAATACCCCCAACCGGTTACAATGTTTTTAATTAACTTCCTAATTAGTTTATTGTATGAACAAGTGTTCAAACGAGTGCAACTATGTACAATCAACTCGGCAAAACAAATCCGACACAAGCAGATAAAAATGAAAAAATACAGGAAACAGATGCTGAAGTCTAGCCTGGAGCATTAATTAAAGATATCGGACTATTTTACATATAGTTCTGATCTCAGCTCTAACCCTAACCTTAAAATCAACCTTTAACATTAATTTTTATTACAGAAGAATGCGAAAAAAATTCACGTGATTTTGCAATCGGTTTAACAATCAATATCAATCGATATAATCTGACACACCAACATTAAATATTATAAGTAATTTAAGATTTTTATGAAATTGTTTGCAAATTTTCTCATCAAGTACTTTGTTGTTTACGAAATTGCAAGATCTTAGATTTGTTAACTTCTTTAAACAATGACTTTATTAAAGCTTGAAAATTTTTTACAAAGTTTTTATTATTTATTTCTCATTCATAAAGTTCTAAAACAAAATTAAATATTTACAGGGGAATTGGACACTTTTATTTTATTAATTACTTTAAAATATATACAATAAATTATTTTTTAAATATAATAGTTTATAATTATATAAACAAACTAACAAAATTTATACTTTTTGATTTATTAATTATTAAAAACATCAAAATTTAAATTTATTTACAAAATTATTTTGATGGAACTAAATATTATATATTAATTTCTTGATAATTTATATTGAAATTTTTATCATTAATAGTTTAAAGTTTTATAAATTAATAAAAAATTTGATATTTTTTTATTTATTGATTATTGAAAAAATTAAAATCAAACTTTATTAATAAAACTAAAAAATATAATTTTAAAAATTAAAATATTTAAAAACTTTAAAATTTAATTATTTCATTAATCAATAATTAGAATTAACTAATTTTGTTATATTTTTAAAGTATATTTAATTTTATAAAATAAAAAAATTAATAAATTCTGATTGCTAATTATTGAAATATTTAAATTTGAATTTTTTTAAATAAATAAAAAGATATAACAAATTAATTTGTAAATAAATTTTGACTTTTTAATAATTAATAAATTAAAAAGTATAAAATAGTTAACAGAATTATAGAATTATATATGTGATTTTATTAATAAAACATAATAAAAATTAAAATTTTTGTTTTATATAAAAATTTTCAATTTTATTAATAAATATTTTTTATTTTTATATCAAAATAAAAATTATAAGTTATAATTTAATATATATTTTTTCTGGATTTTTTTCAATAAAGTTATTCTAATTGCAAAGTTATTGCAAAAATTTTTATAATCAATTTTACATTTTAATTATAAAATATTTTGCAATAATTTTATAATTAAAACAATTTTATCAGAAAAAATCTAAAAAATCCAGAAAAAATATATATTAAACTATAATTTATAATTTTTATTTTAATATAAAAATAAAAAATATTTATTAATAGAATTAAAAAATTTTATATAAGACAAAAATTTTAATTTTTATTATATTTTATTAATAAAATTACATGTATAATTTCATAATTCTGTTAGCTATTATATAATTATAAATTATTATATTTAAAAACTTAAAAATAATTTATTATATATATTTTAAAGTATGATTCAATACAAAAAGATTTGTATCTTAAAATAAAAATTAATAATTGTTTTTAATATAAATCATTCAAAATTCAACTAAACTCTATAATTTTTTATATTAAGTAAAATAATAATTTAAATAATTATTTATATTATTTTTTATATTTTTATTCAATAATAAATAAAGCAATACTTTTTTAAAAATAAAATAAAAATTATTTTTTTAAAAATATATTTAAGCATTATTTTATTAATTTGTAATATTAGAACTTTAAATTATACAAGCATATTGCTATATATTTGATAAAAATATATTTTAAATTTTATAAAAATTAAATTACAATCAAATTCCTCTATAGTCATCACTCTCAGAAAAGCAAAATTTGGTGACTATAGAGAGAATATGACTATAGAGTAATTTTTTTACTATATTTATATATAAATGAGAAAGCAAAATAGAGTAACTATAGAGAGATATGACTATAAATGAGCATGACTATAAAAAGATTTAACTATAGTAATTATTATCAAATTAAGTTCAAAGTTTAACAATTAAATTATTATTATATATATTTTATATTAATTTTAATTGAAATACAAATCTTTTTGTACTGAACTATAATTAATAAAATAAAAATGTTTAATACTTTTTATATCTTTTTATATAATTATTTATTGTTACTTAAACTATTAAATTTAGCAAGCAAATTTGCTTACTAAAATTCAAATTTGATCAAAAATCTAATTTATCAAGTAAATATTTAATGAAATTTATATAAATTTATAAATTTTAATCAGAATTACAAATTGATATAAGATAATTAATATTTAAGATAAAATTATATAAATTTAAAAAATAATTTTAATTTATTTTAATTATAATATAATAAATATTTATTTTGATATAATAAAATTATAAGTAAAATTATAATCAAAAATTAGAATTACAAATTAATATAAAATAATTATTATTAATAATAATTATTTAAGAAGTTATATAATATTTATAATTAAATTTGATAAATATAAAATAAAAATATTTTAGTTATTACTATATAAACTTTTAATTTTTACTAAATTAATATATAATACTATATATTGTTATAATATGATACTATATATTATTATAATATAAATATTTAATTCTTATTTTATTAATTAATTCATATTATAATTTAATTAAATAAGATTTTATTGGTTAAAAATTAGTTTTAATTTAATTGAATAGTTAATTAATACTTTATTATTGGTTCTTTATTTGTATTAACACTAGTAATATCAGCAATATTAACAATATTAATAATACTAATAATATTAATAATACTTATATAAATAGTAAATAATACTAATAATACTTGTAATCAAATAATTTATAATATTAATACTATTAACAAAATTAATCTATAAAATTAGTACTGTTAATAAAATTAATCTATAAATTAGAAATATGAGTATTATTGTGATTAGATATTTTTTATAATCACAAATAATCATTTTATATACAGTCAAACCTCTTTATAGTCATCATTCTCGGAAAAGCAAAATTTGGTGACTATAGAGAGAATGTGACTATAGAGGAGTTTTTTTACTATATTTATATATAAATGGAAAAGCAAAATAATGTGACTATAGAGAGGTGTAACTATAAATAGGTGTGATTATAGAGAGATTTGATTGTAATTACTATACATGATCACTTCAAATAATTATTCCAAATGATCATTCCAACTAATTATCTCAAGCATTTCGAATGATTATTACAAATAATTATTCTAAACAATCATTTCAAACACTCTAAATGATCATTGCAAATGATCATTCCAAACAATTATTTCAAATACTCTGAATGATCATTCCAAATAATTACTTTATAATTATCAAATACTTATAAATACTGCTTATATTTTAGCTTAGAATAAAAATTAATTTTAATTAATCAATTAATTTTAATCAAGTTTTAGTTTCTATTTTTTTAATAATCCTTTAGATAGTATTTTCATAATTTTTCATCTTAATTGTGAAATTATTCTTGTATTTGTTTTATAATCTCTCATTACTATTGTGAAGTTATATTACCTTATACATTCTTGTATTTGATCTCTTGTCTATATTGCAAAGTCAATAATAGTATGGCATTAATAAAAAAAAATTATATTTTACTTGTTTATAAACCAAATTTAAAAGAATGCTTGACTTATTATAAATTGAATTATAAAAGATACAATTATCTTTGAATTTTTCTGATCTCATTTTAGCTGATCAACAAAACAAATATATATTATCTACCTTTAGATAACTTAGTAAACTCTTCCAACTTAAAGTTTTTTAATATGTTAACTCTCTCATCTGACTCTATTACATATACTCTCATAACAAAATCTAAAGTTATATTAAAATAATAACAGTATTATGAGTAATTATAACATGTATTTTAGATAGAATTAAATAGATTTTTGAGCTTTTATCTTTCTTTATTTGATAAAAAACTTTAAGTCTTCTCACTAAGAGATTTTTATTTGAGAATTCTCATTATATACTTTTTTAATTTTAATTTTAATTTTGAATTTTATTTTAGACAATTAATATAATAATACTTTCTTATATAAATAATATTAAGATAAATTTATTAATTGTTATAAATAAATTATATCAATTGAGATAGTTTTCAGTTTTAATTT